AGATCAGAGTATGTAGCAAATACAATTCGCCGCATATTAGATTTTCTCAATATATAATCACCGCTCCTCGTGGAACTCGTCCCTAGAAGGGGGGGTAATGTCACGGACATACATATAATTACCTATATGAATAGATAAAAGTATGTAAAAGTAGGTTAATTGTGTAATATCTTCTAGAAAAGCTTCTTAGAAGCTTCATAGACGCTGCTTTGACTTTATAGGAGTCTATAGTTGACTTTTAGGTTAGAAACTTGGTCAACAAATTAGCCATGTGCCACGCATGTTGGAAGCTTAAAGAACAAGCTAACTACGTGGTCCATCCATAGAAAACTTGCCTTGCAAGCAAAGGCATGTGGCCTAGAAAGTCAACATATATTGGAGGTCTTATAGAACATCGCCACGTGGCTTCTAGTTAGATAGTATATATAGAGGCAAGAGTGAAGCCCTCTTCACTCTTGTCAACTCCTTTCTTGCTTCTAGTCCAGGTTCAAGAGTCTTTAGTTTCTTGTCTTGTGGCAATAGCTATTCCAGTTTCCTTTTAATATACCTACTTGTTTATATTTTGACTTATTATATCGAGATAGCCTTTTGGTGTATATTTTTCCTCATCGAGTCTTCGTCCTTGACACTAAGTACTTTTCTTTTTCCACCTTTGTAGATAAGTATAATCAAACCTTTTGTAACTCGAAGCGAGAAAAAGCTATGTGATATAGCTCATACAATTTGGAAGTAATTTTTTTCAATGGTCTCCTAAAAAATAACAAAGAATTCTAAAGTAACTTCATTTGGATCCAAGGCTCTATTAGTAGCCATTTTTATAACAACTATGTGAAATTTAACATGGTTTAGAAAACTTTGTAATAAAAAAAAGCCATGAAGGAAGAGACATCTACCGAAATTGATTCTAATATGGCAACTTCTACTTTTTTAGACTTATGATCTCATGGCACTTTTTTGTATAATTCCAAAAATTATTTGATACATGTCACTATAATGGTTGTGTTTCTTATTATGGTTTTGTTGTTTTTTCTATTGACTTCAAATAAGATATATTGTATGGATTTTTTTCAAATTACCTTGAAGAATTTTACATTTATTCCACCAATAGTGAGCTTCTATTATAATTTGGCTTAGATATATAATAGCAGTCTATCTATCTAAAGATGAAATAGCCATCCTTTTGTCTATTATTCTAAGAAAACCAAATCTTGTCTTAAGACTTAAAATATTTTGTAAGATAGAGTACAAACTTGAGTTGTTTCCATGTAATTTTTTTACTATTAGAGGATAGTCGAGTGTAAAATATTGATTTATTGTTAGATCTTTTGACCATATTAAAGTCTCTGCTAATATACCATTGATAGTGAGTAGAGAGATTTAGAGAAATCTCTTGCTAGAGGATATAGTGGTCATTAGGAAAATTAGATACATAGAGGTTAAATAATCTCAGATCACCTCTAGAGATATTACTAAATTTAGATTCAAATTGCCATATTATTCATGATGGTTCCACTTGCTTTAATGAAGGAAAGAAGTCTAGTATTCATGAGTGTATATACTCCTCCTCTTTTCGGCCCTTCCAAAATGTCAACATTATAACTAAGAGTTGCTTTCATAGTCTATTCTTTGCTTTTGGGCCATATATCCTTCTTTAATTTTTTTTATGTGATTTTCATGAAGCTTATATTCTTAGAACATAACTATGTGTAGGCTACTTATTACATTGTTGAAATAGTTTCAAATTCTATCTATCTTTGATTGATTATTGAAATTCCTTACATTGAAAGTTATAGATTTCAAAATCATGAGAAGAAGAAGGGGCCCTTGTATAAAAGGTTGCCTTGATGTCATAGGAGTCTATTAATTTTTGGTAGAAGTAGGCATTGCAATGTGTTGGAGGTGCGTCCAATCATGCTTGCTATTCTTCTACTTCAACTTTAATTGTGTGATAGAGAAGATTTGTTAGAGACAGAGATTGATCATTGCCAAAATTCAATCCATTCATCTTTGGCAATGTCTAAATAGTTGGCTTTTTTGTTGAGGATTGATATAGTTTTTTAGTTGGATCAAAGTTAATGTCAAGATCAATAGGTGATATATGGCTTCTGATTTTTGCAATGGATGTTAAGAGGTTACGTTGTTTCCTATACTATTGTAGAAATGAGGATGTAATTAGATTATGACATTTTTTTGGCCTTGAAATATAGATGGAGGAAATATTGGAACTAACATAGGAGCAAAGCCTTGGATTTAAAGGAATTGCATTAAGAGTCATGAAGGGTAATTGATGCATAGCTAGTTGTGAAGTATTACTAAATTGTATGTGATTGTCGTCCCTAACAAGCAGAGATGAGGCAACATCTATCAGTATGTTGGAGTTGTTTGGCCTCATAAAAATAGAATTATTTTTTTATAAAAGAATTTGTGTTAATAATCAAGAGAAGATTCATTAAAATTAGAAAATTATTACATGAAAGATTGTAAGTAGAGATATTGTATAGATTACTATTTACTCAAGGTTTTGATAGATTACTTTGAAAGGTGGTTGGAATTAATAAGGATTTGTTGAAATTCGTTATATTAAGAAGGAAGAGAAGATGGTGTAGTAATATTAATAAGAAAAAGTTGAAAAGGAACTTTATTTAGCCAAGGTTGTAGATCACTAGAGTGGAAGAGATTTGGTGATGTCATTGGCTGAAGTGAGTATCTATTTGATTTCTAAGTCATTTTGTCAATTATAATAAAGTCATCTATGTCTACATTGGTCTTGTATTAATTGGCTCCTTCTCCATTGTGTATTGAGTGGTAGTCTCATGTATGCTATCTTGTGAGGTCTGTGCTTGTGTTTGAATGTCTAATGTCATTGGATCCTTACTAACTTGCTTTGAGTTTGTAGGGGTAGAATTTGACCTTGTGTTATACATCAAGGCAAAATCTACACTGTATAGGGAGGTAGACATAGTCCACCAATACTATGATTAGGTTGTGAGACATACAATCTTTTATATCAATTTTGGTTTTTGAACCATTATCTTGTGATAACACAACTATATGGTGAAAAATAAAAATATAGATGTTATTGTAGAAGAACCTAATAAAAAGATATTATAGAAAATAGGGATAAATATTAAGAAGGTAGTAAAAACTTTAGTTTTAATTAAGATTTCATTAAGAATTTATTAAGATTTAATTTAGAATTTGATTAGGATTTATGAAGATTTCATTTGGATTAATTTAAAATTTAGGATTTAATTAGGATTTACCTAGGATTTATTTAGGATTTATTTAGAATTTATATTTTTATACTTTAAAGGATTCTTTGTTATTTCTTTAAAAGTTTCTATTTCTAGTATTTTTTTAAGATTTTTTTTTTTATATTTCTTTAGGATTTTTTTATTATTATTCTTTGAGATTATGACTTCTTTATGTTTCTTTTGTAACTTCTTAAATAAAAAAAATAAAAATAAAAAATGGTTGAAATTTGATTAGGATTGTTAAGAATTATTTAAGGTTTAATTAAAATTCTATTAGACTTGGTAGGATTTTATTATTGCATTTCTACTTACTTTCTATAATTAGATGTCCAATGCATTCTCAAACAAGAATACATATAATATGACATTGTTGCTTGTGACAAGAGCCATACAAAACCAAGGTTCTACAAAGATACTAGTTTTCATATCATTAGGTAGCATTTTACCTTAATTTCCCGCAATCTCTAAAGTAATATAAGCATATTGCCATGGAAGTCTTTTCAAGGTAATCTAGGTAGGAACTAATTTATGTCAATGAGTGTTGGGGTCAAAATAGAGAATTCATTGTTGGAACATGCATATGGTGTCATATATAGTGTGAGAATTATAGTGTATCGTATATGATCTATGTAGTATGAGAATTAGGATTTTTAGGGCCACCTCCTTGCTTGAGGCCTTCAAACATAAGAATTAATGGCCGATGTTGTCACTAATTACTACATTGCCTCCTTCCAATCCTACATTGAGCTTGGCAAGCCATTTTGAGAATAAAAAAGTGAGAATTTTCCACCAATGAAGTTGGCAATAATGAGGTGATGCCCAAGGAAGCGCTCCTTGGCTGCAACCATCTCCTTTGAGATGTGTAAGCACTTCCTATATTTCTTGATTAGAAACCCTGCACAGTTGCAAGTTAACCCGTCTGGTAAATTCTCTCCAGCCTTAGGGTTGAGAGATAAACCTTCTCATTGAACTCGCATCAAGGTTGTGAGATCATCTCTAGAGGCTTCTACGATAGCTACGTCCAATATATTAGTCGTCGCTGTGATTGTTGTTGGTTGGGCATGTACTGCATTGGCATAAGTGAGTATCATGTTGAAAACCCTAATTGATGAGGGAAACCCTAAAATACTTAGTCTAGAATAAGTGCTGGCTCGGTTGCCAACCTAGCTGCAAAAGAGGATAATACTCTAAAAAATTCTAGCGCAGATTGAGAGCAAGGTAGGTGAGGGTCAGAAAACACGCTGGAGACTATACAATCACAAAGCTTCGCCATCGTGGGTCGGCAAGGTTTCGCCATCGTGGGTCGGCAAGGTTTCGCCATCGTTGGTCGGCAAGGTTTCGCCATAGCTTTCTCAGCGAAAAACTCAACTACCGAAAAATGCGGAGCTCCATTGTGGCCCCCCCGCAAGTACCCATTCCAAACTAGGTTCAAGGACCCTACAGTAAAAAGGACTAACACTAAATTACCATATTTGAAGGGTGAGGAGGATGTGTATATCTAAGGAGGATTTTGCTTTTCTAGTCATCCACCCAAAACCCTCCAGATTAATGAAACAAAACCATATGCCAGCCTGCATTACTACTTGGCAACAAACCCCTAACTGGGCATCCAGAAATACTGAGCAATAGAATACTTTAAGAAAAGTGAGATGTGTAGCTTTCGCACCAGATCAAGATAAAGGTCATGAAAGAAACACAACATTGCTTTTGAAGGAATTAGGACCGAGGACAAAAACTCAGGTGGTGATTGGTGCAAGCTCTAAGACCACTCCAATTTAGACAGCCTCTTTACTTCTTAACAAGACATTTCGCATGGAAATATGTGTCTTTTAATAAACACAATATACATTTGGTCATAAGAAAAAAAACATGAACCACTTAAAATGAAACTATACTGCAAAAGCAGCCTCAAGTAAGGTTTGAAATAGAGGTCAAAATTTTACAACTTTTGGGTGATATTTCCCAGCCTTGTGTTTTCCTGAAGACAACATCTTTGATATGTCCCTGGTGTTTGACTTCGCAGTCTTCGGCAAACTAATTGGCTCACCGAGTTTATCATCTACGTCGTCATCACTCCGTTCTGAAGTGTCAGGCCCGGCATTTCCTTCATCCTGAAAATCATCTTCTAAGTCATCTCCACTTTTGAACACCGTCCGTTTGCCTCCCACACCCGATGATATCTGAGTTGAATCAGTGGCTGTTTCAGCCACCCCACAAAACAGAAGCGAAATGTTATAAGATAAAACTCGTTGCAACACTGCATTTTTCACTGACGTGCAAGACGGATGTCCCTAGTAACAGCTCATTACCTTAAGGTGAATTATACACAGCATTCACTGCCAAAACTCTGGTACATGTCTGTACTCGGACGCAGATTGATGCTTCTAAAAGAAGCATGGCAAGACAAAACTATAGTTAAACGCAAGTGCAGGACTTCTACACTGAATCGTTTATGGACTTACATATTTTTAGCTTCACCCGGGCATTGCCTGCAAACTTCCCACTGTTCTTCTGAGGACAATCTTTGGCAAGATGCGTAACTTGCTCACATATTTTACAGGAACCTCCCTGCTCGAAATGCAGACAATTCACTTAAGCACCTCCTAATCCAATCTGAGAAGTATAGAAACATTTAAGCCTTCCTACGACATTTGCGACGTCAGACATTGCTGGTAAATAATTTGCGTGATTAGAAAGATATGAAAGGAAGCCGTCAACCCAGACTAAAAGAGCCTGCGCACCTCCTGGTCAATTCGGATACATACATTTTAAGAACTGCTTAGTGGGATTTAAAAGTGCACCAGCAAGTTGTCTAATGGTATACCATTAGCAAGCATATTGAAATTATCCGCCTTAAAATATTTACTTCATAAAGAAGAAAAGAGAAATAGTCGTTTATACCTTGGGATAAATGCCGTTTTTATTATCCGGACAGTTCTTGCTAAGATGGCCCCGTTGTTTACACAGGAAACATTCAGCAAATGCCGATCCACCTGCACAATCAAAACTCAACGAACGTAAATGAAAATTATATTGAGATTTACATTGTGGAAAACACAATAATAATAATAATAATAATAATAATAACCTCGACCTTTCTATAGCAAAGAAAATGGCCGTTTCAGTGTCCTCTTCTATCAAATCAAGTTCTAACCTCAATGCTTTCAGAAAAGCATACTTTGCTAATATCATCGTAAAGACACTTACCATCCTTCAGAGGGTTGGGACACTTATCAAGCGAATGTCCAGGTTGACCACAGTTGTAGCATAATTTAACATCCGCACTCTTGAATTCCGAAGGACAATTCTTGAGAGTATGGCCCCACATTCTGCAACCGAGACACATCTGGAGATATACACACAAGTATATATAACTTATTAGCAACCGATTCTTATTTGGTGTCTCTGTCGCACAGCTTCACAACGTTTCGAATCAATTAAAGATAGAACAAAAATGAAAGAAAAAAGAAAACATAATTCTTCCTGTCTGACAAGGTTCTAAAATCATTGAGAATTACTCCTTGCCTTGTGACGATCTTTCTCGCTTTTAGTTGGGCAATGCTTGGCAATGTGGTCCTTGGACTTGCAAAGGAAACAGCCCTCGCCGGGTTTCATCCCAGCTTGACGCAGAGGGTGCTTACTAGAACTTGCAACTTTGGTTTTCTTGGGCACGCCACTACTACCACCAGAATCGTTTGCTCTCTCTCTTTTTGACCCCTTAACATTCCCAACTTTCTTCTCACCTCCATTATCGGTAGAGTCTTTAGTTTCTTTCTCGGCATTACTAGCACCTCCACTACTCGAGGTTACCTCCCCAATGGCAATCGTACCATCTGTATGAAGCCAGTACAAATTATGGCAAAGAATTTGTGCTTTACTACACATCAGTAAGAACTGAGCTGAAGGATCCTTATCTTCCTTGCTACTCAAACCATAGAATACTGAACGGAAGTAGGCCTACAAGCAAAGCGAATTCTATTTCACGGCTGTGGATTCAAACATGCCACCCATTAAACAATTGCTGAGCACTCACTGGGTATACGAAAGAGAACGTTCAGGAAAATCGGACCTACACATAGTCCTATGATGTTCAATTCTCCTAATCAAATTAACCATGCTGAAAACAGCGAATTATAATGTGAAATAATTACTTGCAACAAGTCGTTTCTTCGCGAGCCGTTGCCGCTTGTTCGCCATCGCAAGCTCCAATAAACGACACCAGAGCGCTAAACCTCTCAGACAACCAAATCTGTACAATCAGAAGAACAGAAACAGCCCGTTCGAAACAGAATAATTTCTACGCCTGAAGCTCCACCTGAATCCAACCAAACAGACTGGAGAAGCAGAATCTAAAACTTGGACTGAGTTCCTGGACAAAAACAGTCTCTGAAGAAGCTCTAATCATGCCCATGCACGAATTTGCGACAGACTTGCGAGTGCAGCGACAGACAGACGCATCAACTCGTCGTTGTAACAAACCAGAACCCCCACTCGACGACTGTGAAGCTCAGTCACTCACTCACTTACTCTCATCAGCAAGCAGTTGAAAGGGAGGAGGAGCGTTTAGAAGGAGGGGCCTTCCCCCTCCGCAGGGTTTAGGGTTTAGGGCTTCAAGCATTTAGGGCTCAGATTGGATGGATGTATTCGTAAATGAAGAGATAACATCCGTCGGGTCATCCACATGTGTCTGGTTCCACGTGGTCCTTTGTTGGATTAGGAGGAAGTGTATTCTCATGTGGATGAAACTTCGTTCGGATGGAGCTCATTAGCCAAATACTAATTAATTAAATACCCAAACTTTATAATTTCACTCAAAGTTATTCAACTTGTATGCCTGAGTAACACATAATAGTTAAAGAATAATATTAATAATAATACTACTCCTAATAGTAATCATCATGAATGCTCAACAAGTCATAATTATATGAATGGTAAAGGAATCAGATTATGTTTGTTTTTACATTAAGAAAAGTAAGTCGGTTCTCTTTATATATAAAAAATAAAAAATCAATCTATTAGAAAAAAATTCATTCAATTAGTAGATCATATTTTAATAGTTATTATCGATAAATAATTACAAATCATATCTATATATTAACTAATACATTAAAATACTATTGAAATAGATTGATTTCATATTATTTTTATAACATGTTTTTATTATTATCTCGAGATAGAAAATATTTTAGAATTGATTGTAGTGATAATACCATACAATTAAACATATATTTTATAGTTGTTTTTTTAATTTTAATTAATCTTTAGATGTGAGAGATGGCATAAGCTCAACATCATTGATTTAACGTAATTTAATTTTTTATTTGAAATATTTATTTTCTGCCAAATCTGATATAATGTTTATAGGGATAATAAGATTTCATTATGATTGATTTTAAATAATGTTTTGCAAGAAAAAAATTCACATTAATATTACTTCAATTGATAAGATTACATTTTTTATAATAATAAATAATGGATGTGTCAAAACATTTTCATACAGTCACAGAGTTATATTGGTTTAATTTTTCTCTTTAATTAATATATATATTTTTATTTTTAAGTGAGGTCAATGTAAGTGGGAATACTTTTTGATTTTTAAATCATTCAAAATGTAATGTTGAAGTATATATTGTAGTAGAATACATTTCAGCAAATAAATTCAATGAAGTAAATTAAAATCATTTGAGAATGCATGTTTTGGAATTAAAATTTTGGCGGGAATCACAAAGATTTTTATAATGCAAAACAAGTTTTATTTTAGAACGTCATTGAAAATCTAAAATTAGCAATGCCATTCAACATTACAAGACTGTCATCTCAATTTGCACAAAAATGTTTCTAAAAGTCACATCTATCATCATACATCACAACAAAGATATTCTATCATTTTAAAACCATGTAGCTAGTTTTTAAAAACTACTTGTGGATTTTTAAATGTGGCAACGACGCAAAAAAATAATAATTAAGAAATTTGTGAACAGATTCACTTCTGCCATTTAATAGGTTCCTCTTAAATGTCAATATATAATCCTGAATAAGTTTTTTATTTTCAACAATCAGTTAGCTTCTATATACATCTACAGAGAGATTGAACAAATTTTTATTTATTCATAAAATTCTCGAAACTGTTTACAGGAAATAATCAACAATCAACTACCCAATGAAATACCATGAAGAGAATATTGACATGGTCATGATTCTAGTCAAGATTTTATGTGGGAAACATCTTTGGAGCACAAAGCCAAATGCTATTGCATGATTCCCAAACCTTTTCATTAAGATCCTGTCCATATGCACTTCTCAGGTATTCTATATAGCTTTTAAATTTGTTGAAGATTGTTTGGTTCCAAGCAAATACTCAAATGATTGTGTGCATGTTCAACAGTTGATATGGGATGTGAAGCATATTATTGAAGCTGACCATGTGATGCAATATGAAATGCAGTGTAGAAATTACTTCCTTTTTCAACCTCAAACAAGTCCATAGAAACATCTTGTAAATAGGTTTCTTTCATAAATATGGAGAAAAACTGTCATAAAAATTTAACAGAACGGACCCATTTTCTCTAAGATTTCTTATGTAAAAAATATACACATATATTTTCAAATATGTCTAATGTTAGGAACTAGCTAGTTTTAATAAATATTAATCCATATATTATTTTAAAAATTAAAAGTTTTAAATTTTTATATAGTATCCTAAGAAAAAGTATTTTAGTCCATATTTATGATCAATATTAGTATTTTTAATCTTGATTTAAAAATGCAATCTATAAATATTAAAAGATGAGACATGTTACTCTTCAAATTTAGGATTTAGGGTGTTTTTGGTGTTGAGAATAAAAACAATATTGAAGCAAGAATTGCTTAAATTTTAATAAGTTCATTCATCCAAATTGTACTAAAAATATAAATTAAACATGTAGTTCTAAAATTGGTTTCAAATACCTACTAATATAATAGATATTATAAACATCATACATAGAAATTCTAATCTATAAACTCTTTTAAGTTTTGGAGCAAGACAAAATTAATAAAAAAAAGAAAAAAAAAAGAAAAAATATAGAATCTAGACCTGTATTGGAAACTTTTTTTTATATATATTTAAATTATTATAAAGAATAAAAATAGCTTTCAAAGACCGTTTCTTTTATTAATAGTTGTTGGATATAAGGGTAAAAATTATGACTATTTATTTTTTTTAAATATGACTTGAAAATGTAAATAGATTAAAAGATATAAATGTAATAAATTAAAGATTCTACAAGCATTACTATTTAGATTTGATTGATAATAATAAATTAAATACAAATTAATATAAAAAATTTAAAAATGATTAGCTGTTTTAATATTTAAATTCCTTATAGAATTTTAAATAAAATATTCTTCCTAATTTAATCTAATAAAAAATAATTCCAAAAGAAATTGTGCACAGGTTCAACAAACGTATTTTTTCTATTTAATATTCAAAAAAATAAATAAAACATCAAATTTATATCCTTGTTTTTTTGGATGATTTAGCAATGTTTGCTATTTTTATCTTTTAAATCCAACAAAAATAAAGCTGTGAGCATATTCTTTGTCTAATGGTATTATATAAAAACATTCTTTTGTTCTTTTGGTAATAGTTTTTTCCAAAACTTTCAAATGTTAGTTAGATTTTATTTAATATATAGTTCTTTTATAAGTATTGATTAAACAATTTAACAAGGCAACATGGTACTATTATATATTAACTAACTTGTTTGATATATAGTGTGCTATAATAGAAAAAATATTACTTATATATATATATATATATATAGATATAGAACTGTATACTAAACTAACATATTTGAGTCTCTCTTTAGTCAACTATGGTTGGTTTATACAATAGAACTCTTCTCTTCTGAAAACAAAAAAAATATATCTTCATTTCATCATGTTGACCAATTATATATTATCAATAATACAATAAAATATTTAGTCAACAATAGGACGATTCTTTCTTGGCATCATCACTAAAATTATACATAAATAAAATAAGAATTGATTTCTTAATGACTAATACTTCTATTTGTAGATTTATATGATTTACTTTATTTGAAAGTTTAAAGGTAATAACTGAAATATATTTCTTCCAAGTGAAAGATTCCAATTTACACTAATACACTTTGCTTACTTTTTATTAGGATTAATTAATTTTCTTTTATGTTAAATATATATTTTTAGAAAGTTTTAGTATAAATCAGGATCATTATGAAATTTTAATCAAATAAAATATGCATAATTATGATTTAATATGAAGAGATTTTTTCTCTAGGTTTATGTATTTTAGATTACTAAGCCAAAAGCTAATATCTAAGAATTCTATAGATATGTAGATTTTTAATTCTATGGTTTAGAAGATAATCAAGTTTCAACAATCTACCAAGAATAAAAATAAAGAAGAATAATTTTTTTGCATTAGTTGAGGAATAGTAAAATATGGTATTTGGCATTAGAATTTGGCTCATCAAAAAGGAGATTAGATATATTTCTTGAATAGCCTAGTATGTGATAATATATCAAAGATTGGCACAAAATATTTTATTAAAAGAAATATTTTATTTAACAAATAAGATTTTAATAGCTAGAAAATGAAAACAACATTTTCTGTAATCAAAGTTAGAAAGTTGATATATAGATGCAGTTTTCAGGCTTGTTTCTTTAATATAAAAAATTAATATGGAAAAATTTAATTTAGTTGAATAAAATCAAAGGAAATTTAGAATTAACACCTCTAATATAAAAGATCTTAAAGTAATAGTATTGAAATAAGGTAGAAAGCTACAAATTAATAACCACTCTTCTTTATACTAAGGTAATAACTAAAGCAACTTTTGTAGCAAATCTCCTTATGAAGCTACTAAAAGTTCCAAAAAACAAAAATAAAAATAAAGTATAACATATAATATATTTTAATATTTCTTTTTAATACAATGGTTTAATTTCTATTAAATTTTTACTAATTAATTATATTAAATAATCTTAAATAAAATTTTATAATATATAAATAATATTATTGATGTTATTTTATTTATTTATTTATTTAAAAATATAAAATATCTAAAATATCTAAATAATCCTTAATAAAAATTTATAATATATGAATGGTATTATTGAAGTTTTTTTTTTTTTTTTTTTTTTTTTTTTTTTGAAAAATATAAAGTATCTTTAACACATGACAATATAATATCTTAGCTATTTAGAAAAATAGTAAAAAATACATTGCAATCTCTTTTTTTATCATAATATTTATTATTTTTTTATAATAAAAAATCCAAGAAAAATAAATAGATTTTTTATAAGTAATTTTATATTTGAATTATTTTTAAAGAAAATTTAATTATCTTCTTCATTGTAATGAAGAGTTAATTCGTAAGTATGTCCAAGGAATTCTCACTATAAAATAATATTAATATGTCTTTGTTAGTATTTTTTTAGAATTTTTTTAATACTTTGTGATGTTATATCATATAAAAACATTCCAAATAGATTCTTAAAATATATTAAAAATAAAATATTCTACTTCTCTTTATTTCTATAAAAACTTTTAAAAGCTTCTTTTTTTCTTCTTGCAAGATGTAGTTGGAGATGTAATGTAGGATTTGTGATGAAGACATAAATCACAAAAAATCAAAGAGTCAATATACTCTTGTGTTATTAAAAAAGATTGGATATTTACTTCATAGTATAGCTATTATTAAAGATAAAAAGTTTAAAGACTGTTGAAAGAAGATTAAAAATAAAAAAACATTAGTAGTAGTGAAAAAGCCTTCACTTTTGCTTCTATATATACTATCTAATTAAAAACCATGTAGCAATGTTTGATAGGACCTCTAATACCTATACAACTTGCAAGTCACATGTCTAAATTATATAATAAGTTTCTTACATGTGTAATATATGGCCAACTTATTGGCTAAGTTTTCAACCTATTAATGACCTATAAACACTTATAAAAGAAATGATATATCTATGAGCCTTTCAAAAAGTTTGTCCAAAATTTATAATCAAATTTATTTACTTTTACTTACATCTACTTATTTATATTATTTTAATAATTACTTGAGTAAATATAGTTATTTAAGACATTATCCTCCCTTCTATAGGTGAGTTTCATGAGAAAAAATTATTATATGTTGAAGAAGTCCAAGATGTGTCAAACTATATTTGTCACATATTTTGATCTTTGTTTCTTTTGAAGGTAGTTGATAGGTCCTTTCAACCATTGATAATGACTTATATTAAGATGGAAAGAATATTTTTAAGACCTTCATAACTTCTTTCAATCAAAATATTTGCAATACCATTAAGAATGATTCTTTCTTCCAATAATATTACCAAATATCAAAAGTCTCTTCTAAAATCATAATACTAAATGCATTGTAACTTGTAATATATTTATAAAAATATATGTTGTTTTTGAAAATATTCATTTCTATTATATTATCTTGAAGGCTATGACAATTATAATGTCTTGTCCAATAACTTAATAAAAAATAGCTCTTAAGTTGAATCTATTAATTATTGATTCTTCATCTATTTACTATAAAAAATACAAAAAAACCTCAATTAAAGATAGATGGTGGAATGCAATCTTCATTGATCCTTGTTTCTTTTATAGCAATGAATTTGTTGGCTCTTTGTCTTGGTTCAAATAGATGCCATTATTGAAAAGCTTTAACCTTTTCGATTGTATTTGCAAGATTTTTGATAGACTCTCATGTAATATGACTAATATAATATCTATATCAATGTATAGAATATTTCAGCCTAAGTTGATACTACTTTAAGTCTAAAACTTCTTTAATCTTAAATTATTGATTATTATCTACTTCTATAAAAAAAAAAGTAGCATTTGTCTTCTTTTCAAAATATTCATCATCTTGTATAGTACAATCAAAAGCATGTAGAACGTGATGTGGATCTTTATAGACTTTTGTAGGTGTAATTAATAAGAAATTAGATTGTTCTATTCACAAATAAAAAATGGTTTAAATCTATAATATTTTTTTTATAAAAAAAAATAAACTTGATATTATGACAAAATAGCCATATTTTATCACTAACATGGAATTTAAGTTGATCTTTGTAATAGGCATCTATATTGATCTTTTTTTATTTTATTTGTGAGCTTTATTTAATTATGCATTTATTGTTACATATAGTTTTAATATTGTTACTTGTATTAACAAGACTTCTTTGATTCAATTATGAACTTGATCTATTTGCTTCTTTCAATTGTACAATTTCTTGGTGTAGACTTTGAACTTCATTGTTGATTTTGTCCATAAGCATAGGAATAGTACTTCCATGATTTATATTGAAAATCCATGAGATTTTCACCTTAAGAATGTTGACAAGCTTATGAATATTTGCAATATTTACAAGTCTATTTTCGTTTCTACGAAGAGTAGCATCCAAAATTTTTTTTTATAGACAATTCAAACAAATCTAAAAGTTAAATTAGAAAAGAATAATCTTCAACCTCTAATATCAAATGAAAATTTCTATAAAGAAAGATAATCATCTATTTTAATGATAAAAATCAATATTAGAAAATTAAAAGTTAGTTTAAAAGGGGATAGTTTGCAACCTTCAAAAACTTAATAATAGAAGTAAAGTAATCTACTCACTTCTAGAATAAAACAAGAATAATGAGTTAGCATTCTTGTCAAATTATCAAGGACATAAATATCAAAGAACTAAAAGTTTAATAAATTCTTATGTTCCACAAAAGATTACATAATTATGCAAATATGATATAATATTAAACTATATTGACTATTGCCAAAGAAAAAAAAATTAGAAAGTCTTAAAATAAGATTAAAGATTAAAAAGGCATTAATAAAAATGAAGAAGGCTTCACTCTTACATCCACATATACTAATTAACTAAGAGCTATGTGTTGACGTTCAATAGGAACTTCAATACATGTCTTAACTTATAAAGCAAGTTTTCTATATGTATGCTACATAATTAATTCATACCATGAGCTATCAACACATACAATATATGACTAATTTTTTGGCCAAGTTTCTAACCTATCAATTAACTATAAACTTGAGTAAAGTCGAAGTTGCATCTATAAAGCTCATAGGAAACTTTTCTATAAGATATTATTAACTTAAGATACTTTTATCTAAATCTAGCTATTTATATTATCTAAATAATTATTAGAGTAAATATGTATATCTGTGACAAGTAATCTACAACTTCTTATATGCTTATATATTATTAAGAGAAAGAAATAATTTACTCTTTTTTTAAAAAAGAAGATAAAGCTTTGATATTATAAATGTACTCCTATCAATTTGTCTAGCATAAGAATTCAAAGAACATAAATAAACAAGTAAAATATGTTTGAAAGAAAAATGACAAAAAAATAAGAAGTAAATATGTATATTTAAGAAGAAACTAGAATGGCCATTGCAAAACGATAATAAAACTAGACTAAAAACAAAAAAAGAATTAACAAGAGTGAAAAATGCCTCACTCTTGCCTCTATATATACTAACTAACCAACATCTTCATGAAAAAGTTCTATAGGACCTCAAACATGTATCAAATTTGAAGGATATGTGTTTAACTTGAAAAACAAACTTCTTATATGTGCACCATATGTCCAATTTGTACAACACATGACCAACTTGTTTGCTAAGTTTTCAACCTACCAATCACCTATAGATATGTATAAAGGCAAAGTTGCATCTATTAAGCTTTTCCAAAAGATATTATCAAATTTATTTATTTTTACTAACTTCTACTTACTCATATTATTTAAGTAATTATTATAATAAATATAGATGTCCATGACAACCATTCAATTACAAACACCTATAAGATCCAATATGCATCTATAAAGCTTTTAAGAAGCTTTTCTATAAAATATTATAAAATCTACCTACATTTACTTTTTACCTAAATAATTTTGTAAGTCCATAATATGTTGTTGCATTTTATTATTATTATTATTTTTATGCATGTAGAAAATTTTATTTTTTAATAATTCTTTGTAACATGAATAAAAAATTTACTAAAATATAATTTTATTTAGTAATTTTATATATCTTTATATATCAATTAATTTTTTATTACAACATATTGATATTTAAAAGTATAATTTATTTTTTAAATAAAAAAACTAGAATTTTTTTAAAATTTAATTAATTTTTTAATCTTTTATAATATTATATTTTTATATGTGTGTTATATATACTTAGTATTCTTTATTTGATATATTAAATAAATTACTTATTATATATATATTAAAATTTTAAATTAAAAATAAAATTATTTAAATAAAATATGATAATTATTTAATATTATATTTAATTTATGAATTTTTATTTTTTTATTTTGTCAAACTTTTTGTATTAATAAATCTACTATACTGAAATATCTGTTTGAAAGTTTAGTCTATTCTAAATGTAGGTTTATAAGAAGATGTAAGGTCTTGTATTATAGAAATTAGTCACATTCCACTTGAATAATAAAAAGCGTTTTAAATAAACATGATATCAAAATAGTTATATTGAACAACCACAAGAAAAGAAAGAAAGAAAGAAAGAAAGAAAGAAAGAAATAAGAGTTGAAGTGGAGATTGTTTCTTTGAAATTGCAATAGTATATATCAAATACTTTGTATGATTTTGGCCAAATTTAATAAGACTTTTCTTTTATTTCCTTGAGAGCAATCCATATCATCATCTAAAGTCATTCTAGTTGGTTCTATTTACTTGTATAGTATGTATGATAGATCGATATTCTTCATTTGTACCAACCTAAATGTAGTTATATATTTTTTGCCTAAAGTTTGCAATCCATTGCTTTATGTCACTTAAAAATTGTATCATCTTTACAAAATAAACTATATTATTACTATTATTATTATTATTATTATTATTTGTGAGTGTTTTGCTTTGGATCTTCAAAAATTATACATTATCAGTAAAAAAATCTCATTTAATTAAAATTCACTAAAATAATACTGAAAATTAAAGAGTCAAATCCTATTTGGCTTTGCTTGGGACACAAACAACTTCTGTTGCATGCAATTCCGAGGCGAAATCTCCTGCCAACTTTTGGTTACTTTGAATGTCGTTGCTTTATCACTCTCTCTCTGTCTCTAAAATGTTTTTGAATGCACCGAATACATCACCACGAAGCACTTTATCTAATCATAATCAATCGCCCTTAATCTTAATTGACCCATACACTGATTAGATCGTTGGGACACCAGGTAGTGGTGCAGAAAATGCCAAAGACGAGTTGCATAAGGGGGGGGGGGGATTCTCTAGCCCGGAATTAGGGCAAGCACTGGATTTGTTCCGGAGGGAGGTGGTATCTGCCTGTGCACGCAATGCAGGAGGGCGTGATCCCTCGCCCCCGTAGCAGCCCAAAATAAGACAGACGCCTTCTCCGAGGAAGTGAGGGAGGGAAGGGAGTGAAAGAAAGAGGGAGTGAAAGAAAGAGGGAGTGAGTGAGTGAGTGAGGGAGGGAAGGGAGTGAGTGAAGGAGGGAGTGAGTGAGTGAGGGAGGAAGGGAGTGTGGTTTTCCTGCGCCATCGTCCTCTTCTCTGTTGCTCTTGCGCTCTGCCCGGGTCTGGTTGTCATTCATTCTCTCTCTCTCTCTCTCTCTCTCCTGGCTCGGTTACTTCGATCACGATGACAGTGAAACGCAGCTTGCTGGTCGAAGCAGACGAGTTGCCTGCCGCCCAGGATGACAAGCTTGCGAGCCTTCACATGTCGCGGCTGGTCATTCCTGCAGCGCCGCTTGCAGGCTTTCACGGGGCCGCGTCATCGGCTCCTCCAAGCACCGTGAGCGCAATCTTGCGCATGGAGGGCGCAGGAGATGCGAGCTACGTGAAGTACTCGTCCGGACAGGCCAACATCAATGCAGAGCTGAGGCCGATGCTAGCAACTGCCATCCGGACGTATACGGAGTTTCCCAGCTCTGGTCCAATCCGGGTGGCCGATCTCGGTTGCTCCGTGGGAGCCAACGCGCTTGGGTTTGCAGAATGCATCTCAAATGCAGTACTGGAAAAGTTCAAATCCTTGGGGTTGCCTGCTCCCGAGATTCAACACTTTTTTTCGGACCTTCCCTCGAACGATTTCAACTTGCTGTTCTCGTTGATGCCGCATCTGAAGAGTGGCGAAGATGACTGGGGCAATCTGGACAACTGCCGCGAAATGGATACCACGAGGAGTTATTATGCTGCTGCAGTTCCGGGATCCTTCTATGACCGCCTGTTTCCGCGAGAAAGCCTTCACGTTGTCATGTCCACTTGGTCCATGCACTGGCTCTCTCATGTAAGGCTCTTCCAATTCGTGATGAGATCAGCTTGTGAGTTCCGTTAATCTATTTAAGAATCAATGGTGAGCTGTTCGATTGCAGATCCCAACCTCGGTCACGGACAAGTCCTCACCAGCCTACAACAAGGGCAAGGTGTGGATTAATGAAGGGAGTCCAGCAGTGGCGGAAGAGTATTCCAAGGTGTCGAAAGAAAATTTGAAAGCGTTCTTTGTCAACCGTGGCGTGGAAATGGTGTCCGGAGGGCTTTTGTTCGTGATGCTGATGAGTAGAAAAGATCCTTGCAGAAAGGAGATCCAATTCGGCCAGCCCTTGGGGCTTGGCTCTCCCATTTGTGGCATGTTCGAGCTCGCATGGAACGACCTTGTTGACGAGGTAAGCAATATTTTCAAACGGTCATTGATGTATTTGTCACACATTCAAGTGCGCAGAAAATATATGTCTTTATATATATATATATATATATAGATAGATATATATATGTGTCTGAATTGCTGTGTTATTCTTGTGTGCGCAGGGTGTGGTCGATGAAGACACGCGGGATTCGTTCAACATGCCAATCTACTGCCCAAGCGCGGACGAGATTACGGAAGCAATAGACGAGTCGTCTGCGTTCCGTGTCGAGAAGCTGGAAATCTGGGAAGACATAGACTTCCTTCCCCGAGCCACAGCCGTGCAATTAGCAACGAATCCCGAGAGGTGGGGCGCCATGGCAATGAACATGTCTAAAACTATGATGCTCACCCTCGTGGAAGCTCATGTCGGCCCTGAAGTCGCAGCCAAATTGTGGGACCGCCTGCAGAAACAGGTTACCGCTCATTGCCGCAGAACGAAGACCGTGTTCTGTGCCAACTCGCCAGGCTGCAACATAGCACTGGCTTTTCTGGTCAAGAAGTAGGAACCATCCTCCGAATACACAAATGCGGGCTTGATTATAGCTATCTCAGTTATCAAATCGTTTACAGCACTCTGGAGCGATGTATCCCAAGGAGCCGGCTATAGTGGACAATTCGCGGCAAACGGGAGTTTCGACAATCTTGGCTGTGCCAAAATTGGCCAAGTGCGCTTAGTAATCCAAGTCGAGCGGAATGTTATTTGACTTGATGTCGCGATGTAGGATTTGTGGCTTACAGTCGTGGTGTACATACTGGAGTCCCATGGCTGCGCCAAGGGCAATTTTGTAGCGTAATTCCCAAGTGAGAATTGCGGCCTTGGTGCTGTGTAGGAGATCTCCCAAACTGCCGTTGGGCATGTACTCGCACACCAGCAGGTTTTAATCCCGCTTCCTGCAGCAGCACAAGAGCTTCACTATGTGGCGGTGTCGCATGGTTGCGAGTGTTCTCACCTGCACGGAAGCACAGCAGAAGGTATGGTTACATTTTAGAACTTAGGTATTCAACCATCTTCAATTTCTCGTCCATTCTAAGAGTGAATGAATGAATCCACTGCGGGTGCAAAGAGTCATGTCAAGCATATTGAGCAACTCTGGGAGAAATGTATAAATTACCTCAGTCATGAAACCATGGTCATTGTTCTGTCGTTTTTTTTCACGCCCCAAAGCCTCTTGACAGCTACAGAGTCACCGTTGGTGAGTGTCGTCCTGTACACTTTCCCCGACCCACCCGCACCGATCAGGTTGGTTTCGTCCAGGTCTGTGATCTCATAGTCGTGGTAAGTTTTCCGCTGGAACGACGTTAAGATCCATGAGTCGTCGCCTCCCCGAATATTTAGAAGAATAGTGTCCAATGTGCCACTTTTGTTACATCTTCGCACACAGAACCATGACGCCACGCACATCAAGAGAAGTATGGCTGTGACAATTCCTACAATCATGGTGCATGTCTTCTTTTCAATCCGCCCTAGCAACTGATCCGAGGAATTCATCCCATAGTGACAAGTACCTTCGATGCACAAGGATTTCCGGTGAAGTTTACATCCACAAACGTTAGACCGTTGTCTAGCTTCGGAATTACTCCTGAGAGGTTGTTGAACGCGACATTTAGACTTTGCAGTTGCACCAAGCTGAAAAAGATCGCGAGGATGTGCCCCGTGAGGTTATTCTCCGAGAGATCCAGATTGGCGAGGTCAGGGAGGTCGGCAAACTCGACGGGAATCGCGCCTGGAAAGGTCCAGCTACACGGGCTGCCTGCAATTGCTGATGACTGGAGGAATGGTGCCACTGAAGCGATTCCTCCCTAGAGAGAGCTCCGTCAAGTTGATGAAGTTTTTTACTTGGTCCGGAAGCGCATCATCGAGGTCGTTCGAATGGGCTCTCAGCTTGCTCAAGACTGTCTTCCCAATTTCCGGGGGAATCTGACCCTCAAAACTATTGTTCTCGATGAACAGCAAAGATAGATTCATGGCTAATCCGATGGTCGCGGCTATGGTTCCATTCAGGTTGCTATCGTTGAGCATCATCTTCGACATGCGTGTTCCACCCCACAAGCCCCCCCGCACAGGCCCCTCAAGCTGATTTTCAGAGAATATCAAAACTTCCAAGCTCGTGCAAACGTCATATGTTGCAGGAATTTTGCCTGTTAGCTTGTTGTTTTTCAGTGAAAAATAAGTCAATTCGTTGCCGCGGCAGAGATTCGGGGGTATGACACCCTCAAGATTGTTGGTGCCAAAGTCCACAAACCGAAGAACAGACATTGTGCCAAGGTCATATGGTGTCGTACCCGCGATCTGGTTATCATTGAAACGAATTTCGTGGACTTCTTTCCATTCAGCTATGGAGGGCGGTATCTCTCCTGTGAGATTGTTGAAGGAAAGATAATCCCCGCAATATCCCCTTGGAAGTGATTGGGGTGCAGGAAGAGGATCTCGAGCTTCTTGCATTGCTATGTGGTGGACGGGAGACGACCCGTGAAGCGATTACACTGCACGGAGAAATCCTTCAGGTTCGTCATGCCGCCGAATACGTCAGGGACATCACCACTAAGGGAGTTCCTGTCAAGATCGATCACTTCTAGGTGCGTCAGGTTGTGAAGAAACTCAGGAATTGGACCCGTCAAGTTGCACCCCGAGAGTTGAAGCACCACCAGATTGGACATCCTCTTCACTCCCATCGGAAACAAAGCTTGCGCAAGGTTCACGTTGTAGAGGCGGAGCTCTCCCATGTTTACCCAATAAGTCAGATCCGGCATTGGCATCATGTCCAATTTGTCGTCTCCCATCAATAGACCTAGATTCGGAAGCGTGAAGATGCTGGACGGAAATTTTCCAGTCCACATGTTGATTCCGAGAGTCAGCACTTCAAACTTCTTCAATGAAGAGATGGATTCCGGAACAGAGCCTCCGAAGTAGTTGCATTGAAGACTAAGAGTGCGAAGCTTACGAAGGTTACCGATGGTATTTACCAAGGTTCCATTGAAGTATGCATAGCTAAGGTCCATATGCTGCAGTAATCTCAGATTACTGATGTCCGCTGGAACATTCCCCCAAATGTAGGTCCAGCTAAGGTTAAGAGAGACGAGCTTTGAGCAATTCACGATGTCGCGAGGGAAATCACCATAAGGATTTGTGTTTCCAACGTTTAGGACTCTCAAATTGGAGAATCGCCCTACAAGACACCACAAAGTCATGCATCAATACGAAGTCTCAACCTCACTGACGATCACAGCTGAAGCTTATTTGCAAATCCGAACTTATCAATTGAAGAGGAAGCTCACGGACCGAAAGTTTCAGAGGTGAGTGGGCTAGCGAGGCTGTTGAAGCCAGTGAAATTGATTGCAGATATAGATTTCTGATTACAGTACACGCCAGCCCACAGACATGGAGTAGCATCATTCGGATTCCAGTCGTCCAAGAAGTTGTCCATATCTTCAAGGCCTTGCTTCCACTCGAGCAGTAATTGACCTTCCTCATTTAGAGCAAATGCGCATTGACATAGAACAGCTAAGCGAGAGAACCAGCACAGAAGATTGAACCTCCCTCGGCGCACCACGTCAGCAGCTCGCTTCTCCATCTCTGCCACGACATGGCAGCATATTTCCGAATTTCCTTATCACACGCCTGCGCTCATGAACGCTTCGAAACCGAATCCATAAGGACCTTCAATCAATCGCATCATCGGCAATTGCAATGCCGAAATCGTACTGCCCAATGTCTTCTTGACGTCGTGATCACCAGGCCAGGCGAACCAGTTCGAGAAGGCAACGGGACAATGGGGTGACCACCTCGGATTCGCAAGGATCTCCTCCGTCACCACTTCCCTGAGCGTCCTAGCTGCACACCTACACACACTGTCACGCTCTGGAATGTAGTCGCCGCGGAACTCAATTCTCTCCATTGACGTCGACAATCACTTCTCGGTCACAACCTGGATCCAGTGCTCCACCTGCCACCAGAACTGACACCCTCGCAATAGTGCGCAAACCAATGACAACCTCTCCGTTCAATTCGTGTTTTGTTACCCTGATCTTCGAATCTTCAAACCTACCCAACACCTCCGAAAAGCCATTTGATAGATACTAAAATTGCAAGTCCTTGTTGAGATCCAATTCACGCTTTCAACGAAATTCTAAGAACTCGGTTCGTTTCCGAGTAACTAACCACCCAACTGTACCATTACCATTACGAGGCGGGAACTTTTGTTTCATGCTGTTCAGGATTTGCGGCATCCTCAAACAATTTGCTGCCATCATGAGAGCTTCGCCACACAGTTACAAGTCCAGGATCGTATGCGGCAGAGAAACCCTTTGTGCATTAATTCGCAGCGCGAGACTAGGAGCCTCCGTCACGAGGGATACACCTTTCATGGACTCCAGAGTCAGAGACCTAGAATTGCAGATGCCGAAATTGGGCGCTACATTGCAAACGACTTGAGGAGCCAAAGCAGTTAATGCTATGCTATGCTATCTATCTATCTCTGTGGCACACCAAACGATATCACGACGAGACGCATGGAGCATTTTCTGGCCTTCCCACAACCCCTCGCGGCTGGTCGGTGCTTGTGGTAATGGTTGCATAACGTCAGTGGATGAGGATCTCCAACTATATGATTTGCACGTTCATGGATGCCTTCATTTCTTTTGATGTGCACATTAACATGACATACATGAATATGGACGTTGTTGGATGATTAGTTTGACATTATTATTATTATTATTTGACATACATTGGAATTGAATGATTGCTTGAATTAAGCGGGATCAACAAATAACAATTTAATTTAAGGGATCTTTATATTTGGAAAGATGGTGAGAAGCAATAACTTTTAAATTCTTTAATTAATTGATAATTTGAAAAGTTTGATCTAGTTGGTTACACACTTACGAGAATGTTATGATCATGAATTGATACAAAACTCATAAGACAATATGTTGATGTTCTACTTGTTCTACCAAAGGAAAAAGAAAATATAGAAAGTAATTTAAAATTTAAAATGACTATAGCCAAACATGAAGAAACTAATTTTTTTTAAATTTAGATTAAAAGACAAAAAAGATATTGACAAAATTTAGAATGATTTCACTCTAATTATATATATATATATATATATATATATAAATTATTAAGGATGCTTTGTAGAAGCTTCTTAAGAATTATGAGACTTGTGGTGTAAATATTAAGTTGTAGGTTGCTTTTGATGCTATTTAAAGATGAAATTATGTAGAAAAAATTTGAATAGTTATATGTCATTTCTTTGAGAATCAAAAGATTTAATTTGTATCTAAAAAACTTCTTTGAAGTTTCTTATAGAAATATTATCTATCTAATATATTTTAATTATTTCTACCTATATCTAATTATTTGTATTTACTTAAATATTACATGTATACATTATAAAAATAACAATCTAAATATTTTAAGATAAGAAGTTGAATCAATATATATATATATATATATATATATATATATATATTTAAATATGTAATTATTTACTTACTTATTATAGAATAATTCTTTGATATGAGCCTTGTCTTTCATAGATAGTATTAAATAAGAAGAGATTATAAAATAGATTAAATTATCTTATTATTAAAGACATGAATAAAAAATAAAATCTAAAAAAAAAAATACACTCTTGTATTACAAAAAAGAAAAAAAGAAAAAAAGAAAAAAAAATTAAAATATAGATATAAAATTAAAACTATAATGGGTATACCAAATACAAAAAGATTAAGAAATCTTGAATTAAGATAAAATACAAGAAAGGAATTAAGAAGAGTTTATATGTAGACTTCATTCTTGCCTTTATATATATTATCTACTAAAGAACTATGTGGTGATATTATATAAGCCATATGACAAATGTCCAACTTGCAAAATATATGTTTAATTTGTAAGCCAAGTCTTTGATATTTGTGCTACATAGCCAATTTGTAATACAAGTGGCTAAATGTCAAACATGTGGCTAATTTACTAGCTAAGTTGTCAATCTTAATACATCAACTTTTACAAATTAGCCACGTGTTAATTTTAATACATCAACTTTTACTTAATTTTAAAATTATTTTCAGTGATCTAAGCATATCATCTTTATATTGTTGTTTGATTTATGATAGTTAAACAATATTTGATATTATTTCATAAATATTTCAAAAAAACTACATCTTAAGATAAGATTGTTACAAATAGATGAAGTCTATCATTTGCATCCATTTGTAATAGATTTCCATGTAATAAAAAATTTGATACATTTATTTTTTGTAAAAAATAAAAGAGGGATACAATAGGAATTGAAATATTTTTTTTTTGAAACCTTAAAATAATATTTCTATATCTTTTTCCTATTTAAATATAATTGTGGAAGTTAATGATATAATTTACAATGACAACTTAAGAGAACTTCTTCATCCATTCTAATATGTCTTTAGAAGATAATAATATAAATAGAATAGAAAATTGAGAGAAATTTATAATAAATGAAAAGAATAGTTTATAATTTTAAAAAAACATTAAATATTATGTACCATTTTTGGAAATTTTAAGTCTCTAATGGTTTGTCACTTCTTAGAATCCATTTACAAACCATCATTTAAAATGGTATATCTCAATTATTTTATTTGAATCATATATGAAGATAAAATTCACTCTTCAATTTAAGTTATGAAATATACTCAATTAAGAATTCTTATAATTATTAATATAAAGTAAGAATTTTAATTAATAAAAAAATAAAAAATAAGAAATAAAAGAATAACAATAAAAGTAATACATATTTTAAAATCATTCATAATTAGTTTAATAGAATTTTATATAATAAAAAATAAAAAAATAAAAAAATAAATTTTTTATATAGGAAATTATTTTACTTTTCTATTAAAATAAAAAAAAATCTAAGTTAATTTGATAAAATCATGATAATTTGAAGGAAAAAAGTAAATATTAAAAAAATTGAATATTTGAAATTTACTTCAAGAATAATTTGATTAAGTGGTCAGGAGTTTGATCTTCACTAATGCTTACAAGTTGTGTATTAGGTGTCTTAGAGGAGCCACAAGTCTTTTGTCTTATTCTCTTGGCTACCTCAAAATTGATACAATCTATAAGAAACATATGCACCCCATTTTTTGCAACTACTATTATTAAATTTGGTCACTCTTATTCCTACTAGAAGAATTTTTTTTTTTTTTTTTTTTTTTTTTTTTTTTTTTTTTTCTATATTTTGGCTTTACTATAGTATTTAAAAACACCCAATATGTGTAGAAATCTTACAAGGGCTTCAAAGCTTATTCTAATTCATCACAAGGACTTCTCAAAGTAATAAAATTAATTTCACCAAAATTGTAAAACAATATGTTCTGAAAAATATTAAAATATTCTAAATAAATTCTAAAAATTCTTCTTATATTTTTAGGATTCTTATAGCAATTTAAAGATGTTTATTTTTACCTAAGTGATATTTTATAGCAATAAATTTAATTAAAATACTGTTTTTTTTATTATATTTTACATACATCACAAAAAATTTATGGTGTTCTTTTTCATATTTTTTCTACCTATCAACTATAATACATAAATTTATAATAGATAATATATATCAATAAAAGGCTACTTTTAAAATTGGTCTCAAGAAGTAAACACAAATTATCACAAATTAAAAAAAAATTAAATAAGATAATTACCTTTAAGATTTATTAAGGCTCTATTTTGGTGTCTTTTAATTTAATTAGACTCTTATAATTTATAATATCTTTTATTTCCTAAAAAATTACTTAGATAAAAAATAAAATTTATAATTTAATATTTTTTATTTATTTGAGTAGCAGTAAAACATTGACATTTTTATATCTAAGCAACATCAAAATTTAGTAGTGGAACTTAGATTGTATGGAATATATATATTTTTAGTTTGATACATAATTATATATCTCTAAGTTTTTATAGTATTTAACAAACGTGTTATTCATATTCTTTTATATTCTTCAAGTAGATAAGAATGTTTTCTAAATAATACAGAAGAAAATTATCTAAATATTTATAAAATACATCATTTATCACATATTAGAAAGCAGCTCAAAAAAATTTAAATACTAAAGGCATGCATTATATTTTGAATGGCCATACTTAGTTGAAAATTAAGTCTTTCATTCCTCTTCTTCTTAAGATGTATGTAATTGTAGGGACTTGGTAGATCCAAATTAAAATAAATAGCTTTACTTAATTGATGAAAGAGCCTTGATGTTCAAAACAAAGGATATTAATTTATAATTTTCAATTTTTTTAGTCTATAATAATTCAGATACATATGTAAAAATCCATCTTTTTTTATTTATAAAGTAGATTGGTGAACATATGAGAGAATTTTAATTTCAATTAAATTTATTGATAGATTTCTTTTAATACATTTTTTTTAAAGTAAAAATTTTATTTTATAATAAGTTATAAATTGATCAAAAAGATAGTTGAGCTTTTCTTTGAAGATTTATTGCATAATCATAACATCAATGTCTTAAAAATAAATTAATATATATATATATATATATATATATATATTTTAAATATATCTTGATATTTAATGTATTACACCAAATACCATTGTATTCTTTCTTTAAATAATAACTTCATTTTGTGTAAATAAAAAATAGATTTCTTAATTTTGAAACTTACATATTTTTAATAAATTTTTATAAATAAAAATTAAAATAATTAATTTTTATTAAAAGTAAAATTTAAAGAAATTTTTTATAATTTCTAAAAAATATTATGGTTATGCAATTAAAACCAAAGAAGGCTAAGTATCATAAGATTTTAAGGATATTGAATAATATAAAACATAAATTCTAATATTTGATTACTTAATATTACTTTAAATGGCTTGATATCTTCTATAATTTTTCTAAATAAAAGTTTTTATCTATTAATAAATTCTATTAAAATCAATTCAATTTTTTTAATAATATTTAATTTTTTTATAATTTAAAATATTTATCCATAATCTAAATTTAAAATATAAATCCATAATCTACTTTTTTTATTATATAAATATAATTTTTTTCAAAGCTTTTATTTTTTATATGGTATTATTAACTTGAATTGAGTTGAATCAATTTGCATGGACTTTGATAGTGATGAATAAATTATTAAGAACTCACAAGTTGTTGTCATTGCTTGATTTGTTCATCTTTAATTAAACCTTTTATTTATTTTTTATTTAGAGAATTAATTTTTGTACACAATTACTCAAGTAATAAATTATTTTATATACTTGCTTTTAACATTATCAATATTAAATCTTTGATATTATCTTTTAGATTACATTACAATAGATTGATAATTTTTTTATTATTATTTCTATTCAATTTATAAGCAATTTGTTGGACTTTGGCATCATTGATAATAATTAAATATGACCCTTGTTGCATAGATTGGATTTTTTTTCTATCTTTTTTAAATTATTTTTTCTAAATATAGATATAAATACTTTTAAAAAAGATTTTAAATCATACTAAAGCTGTGAATCTTTTTTTTTTTTTTTTTTTTTTTTTTTTTAAATAAAAGGTGCAATTTAAAAAAGAATAATTCCAAATAGAAGCATGTATATAAATTGTACATAAGTGATTATGTAAATGTATCAAGAATGATGTATTTTCATGAATAATTTGACTTATTGTAGAATCTTTTAAAATTTTGAATTAGTTCTATTGTTGAAATTGCTAAGTAGCTATTTGAAAATAGT